CGACTGATAATAATAGTAAAAGGAAAAAACAAAAAAATAAGGAAAAAAAGAAAAATGAGCTGCTTTCTTAGAAAGATAAATTTGGTTCGAAATAGATTGACAAAAAAGGAAAAGCAAAACAATGAGGTACATCATGTTATTCGTAAGTAATTATCCTTACAAATCGTTAATTGGGACTATAAAAATTACATTAGCGGATCGAGCATGTTTGAGGCATGTGATTAGTTTGTTGATTACTGATGAATTAGATGTCGATAAGATATACACGACATGATTATGCTCCGCTTGCGGTATTCTTGGTGAAAGATCCAGCTGTAGCATTGATACAACCTTGTGCTGTTTTAATTGTTCTGTTGTTGTCACCTACAAATTAAATTCAAGAGGATTTATTTTATCACCTACACTAAGCGATAAAGGAACCTAGCCTAAATTAGCAACAGAAATAAACTTGGTACTGTAAGCCTGTTCTTTACAAAAATTAATTAAACACTGTAAATTGTCAACCGTTACGACCAACTTCTGATGAAGGGAGAAACGTACTATTCTTTTTTTTGACGTACTATTCTGAGATCAATACATATGCTTCATTACGCCTTCATATGTATTCCCAACCCCTGAGCAATATTAGTGAAGATGAACAAAACGCTCAGCAGACCATCTATAATAGTACCGACAAAAGAAAAAAAAACTAATAAAAATCAGGAATTTCAAGACTGGAGGGATAGAAAATTAAATCAAGATAGGAATTGCCCGTAGTTTTCATAACTTTCGGGAGGAAGAAATACAGCACAATGAAAAATACTTTAATTTAATATATTATTAAAAGATATTTCTAACAAAACTGACTAAGTTAAACTGTTTGATAAGAGTAGGATCCCACATAATTATTTTCGCTCCGTCGAACGCATCCAGTGCATCAAACAGAATCCTTGCATTGCCCTCGGACAAGACATCAATAATGCTTCTGCTCTTGACATCCATGTCACAATCTGATCTTCAATTCGAAAGTTCGGTGTAATGATTGAGATTCGTGAAGATCTGATTTTTCATGGGTTACATTTATCATTCCACTCCATTCATACTTCCACTTATCCATTACTTCCCCC